CACGTGGGAAAAATACCGTTGATAGAAATTATAATAATGGAAAGATCTCACCTCTCGCTCGCTACGCTTACGTTCCTTAACTAACTTAGCTGAACTCTTTTGATTTCGATATGTATTCACAGGCTTCCTATGATGGACTGTAAGAATGTCCGTTTGTACTGTCCCAGCAGGGCGTACGGACTGGTGGTAAGAAGTGGGGCGGCGAGAGGTGGGGGTGACTAGAGGGGCGCTTCGGTAGTTACTAGTAGTTGATCGATGCTCACAATGAGTGTCGATCTAGACCTTTAATCGATGGAGGTGGATGCGCGCGAATTTTGAATACTGCTAATTACCGTACGATCCTTTCGGATCGTACAATTGGTATAAATTTGACTCGCAGTTGTTTAGACGGGGGTAAAGTCACACCTGCCAAATATGTAACGTCATCTACATCATCCACTGGTTCTAATTCAAAATTATACAACATAAAAGCTACAAATAGTTTGAGCTCAAGCATTGCAAATTTTTGACCTGCAGAATGAAAAAACCAAAAATAGGAAGAAAAAATTTTAAAGTTTTTGCTAATATTTTTACATGCGACATATAACAATACAGTTTCTAGGCCCCGCACTAAATGGTATGTAGGAATAGGGATGACATCTCTTGATATTTTCCGGTAAAAATCTGTCCGGATCAAAAACATTTGGATTTGGCCAATATTCTGGATTTCTGTTCACGCTGTAAATATTCACTTCAATGACCGTACCAGATGGAATTAAATAATGTTCTACAAAATTAATACAAGTACATAGAAAATAAAATAAAAACTTAATAGTACAAGTTTTGTGTTAACCAATTAACCTGTGGCGTCTCGCATGTAGCGGTACGACCGAAGGTCGCGCCCTCTAAAGTTACTAGAAGGCTAGGGAACCACGCTAACAAGTAGTGGTCACTAGACTAGAACAGTCTGTGCGTAGCCGTTGAGAAGTGTACAACAAAGAAAAGCAAGTCGCATCCTTTAAATAAAAATCATAAAATAAAATTCAGTCTAATATTATCTTTACTATAGAGAAACCCTCTACACGCTCCAGCACGGTGCTGACACCTCTCAGCCGACAGCGCGCAGCTGTAGCATCGCGCGCGGGGAAAGTGCTGATACCTCTCGGCCGCTAGCACTAGTGTACTTAGGCACCGCGTGATGCGGCTCTGCAGGGGTGCGCTGGTTKGCCAGTGGCATCTCCGCCCTAGCCACGCGGCTTGACCACCACGCAGGGGCATCCGATTGGCCTGACCACGCATTTGATTGGTCAGAGCTGCAACGTGATCACTGCGACCGTTGCCCTCTCTACTTCCGGATGCCTGGATCGCCGCGGGGGTGCATTCACTCAAAACATTTTCGCTTTGTCCATCGTACCGGCTAGTCGCGCTCCTTCTTTGTACCTTTGTATAAAACTGTTTTTCTTTGTATTCTTTTCTCTAACACGTGGTACACCASGCTCTGTGAATAAAGCTCGTCCCAAGGGATCGAATTCAAAATAGGAAGTTTCTTTTCCCCCACGAAGTCTCATTGGCCTATTCCTCTGTCCACGGCCCGTTTCTCGCGTTAAGGAAAACGCACCTTAACGTATTTAGTAACCAGAGAAAGAAATTCCAAAAACCGCAGCGCTCAATTTTGAAAGTGCGCACCGCTGTGCATCGCACAAATCGACTGATGACCATTACGTTCGTCAAACATAGAATAATTGTCGCTCGKGTGTCCTACATAACTTTTTTCACGATTTTTCATGTATTAGCGATAACCTTATATAAATATACTTTAAACATAAAGTAATCTATTTTTAATTTACTATAGATTGCAATAAATAAAATTTAAGAATTTTTTCAATGTTTCCTTAAACGTTATCTATTTTTTTAAATAGCATTCTATATTTATGATCTTACAGTATTATAACCCATATTAATAGGAATTCAATGAACGATWACTACTTAAAAACAGGAATTTAAATTATTTAATATTACGCATTAGTTTTGCATTTTTCGGTTTTTTTGAAATATATGTTACAAAGATAAAGAAATATTAGTAATGAAATGGAACATTTTTTAAAAAAAGCCTATTTTTTATGGAATTTTTGTCATGTGTTTGAACGAACTTTACCTAATAAATTTATCTATTTCAAATATGGTAACCGATAGAGTTCAGAATATTACTTGTACTGAAACTTTGGTCGTCCGGGATAAAGTTTCCGAACAGGTTAGCAACTTTAGGTATTTAGGATCGATCATAAATCAGACGAATGAATTAATGAAGAACTTAGGAAAAAAATCACTTTAGGCAATTCATGTTTTTATTCGGTTAATAAATTATTCATCTCGCGGTTTCTGTCTAGGCGATTAAAAATCAGGATATACAGGACAATCATCCTGCCGGTATTCCTTTATGGTAGCGAATTGTGGTCGCCTACGTTAGGGGACGAAAAGAAATTTTGGGTTTTCGAAAGGAAAGTTCTTCGTAAAATCTTCGGTGCAAAACGCGATGAGGAAACGGGCGAATGGAGAAAACTTCATAGCGTTGAAGTACATCGATTGTACAACAAACCGGACATTATCAACGTCGTAAAATCAGGCCAATTAAGATGGGCTGGTCACGTGGCGCGCATGGGGGAGGATCGAGCGGCGCATAAAATATTGGTCGGAATATCAAACGGGAAAATACCGCTTAGTAGACCGTGATGTAAATGGGAGGAAAATAYTATTAAGGGATCTTAAGGAAATAGGCTACGAAGACCGTAAATAGAGAGATTTCGCTTAGGGACAGAAACAATGGAGGGATTAGAAATGTGCGGCAATGACATTTCGAATTCTTAATGCCAATTCTAATACTAATAGAAAGTATAAACAAATATTTGCTTAATAAGTAAAATATTTTAATAAAATTGTAGACTTTTCAAAAGACCTACATTTTTCGAAARCCACGTAGAAACATTAAAGACAAGTAGTTGTATCGTTTTTTTTCATTGTWATCATCCATCACTTCCTTTATTATATAGATATACGGCAATTCGAACATCAACGATACCATGTAAGAATTTATGTAAACTAATAATGTGCATCCTAAATATAAAGTTACCTGCAAAAAAAAGAATGACATAAGGAAAATTAATTACAATTGATTTAATCAATCAGTATAACCAAAAAAAAAATAAATAATACATAYGATCAATGAAATATTAACGTGAAGGGTAGTTTCACTCAAAAAGGTCACATAATATATAACAATTGGATTTATCAGATATGCTGCGAAAGTCAATCTTCTGAATGGTATCCAATATTTCCAYGAAAGAATACTATTCACAATACCTACAATATAAAATGATTTAATTAATAATGATTAGTAAGTAATAGTGTGGAAATCAAGAATAGAATCAGATATTTAATTTTACCTCCATTATTTGTGCAACATGCAATTAATAGCCATGCAATACCAATTGTCCATACAGTTCTACTGAGAGCAACGTAAATAGCAGCAGTTAAAACTGATATTCTTCTCTCATATAATCCAAACAGTACTAATAAGTTACATAAACTGGCTAATATCAAAAATAGTATTATTGTTTTCTAGAATCAGTAATATCAACATTAGAGTAAACATCAACATCATGAAGAAAATATTATAATTTAATATGAAGTATTTGTAAGCGCTAAACGATCAGAATATTTGTTTACTTTTTTCCATAATAATTTGTTGCTTAATTTGACAACAATATACGTAGTCATCACACCCACAAGGTACGAACCTATCCTAAACCATGGTGAATAGTACAACTCTTTTCCAAATTTGTTACTATTGTCCACTCTGTAATACAATCCATCGTTTAATTATTAATCAATTAACTCTTTTATTAAAGAATACTTTTATGCTATTATCTTTTTATACAAATTCGCTCTATTTGTAGATATTTATCTTCAAATATAAAACAAACCATTTCTGCAGTGATTCACGAAAATATATCAACACGTGCAATGAGATACACTATTAATTATATTAGGTATAGATCCTTAGATTATGAAAGTAAAGTTTCAACAATTCTGAATATATGTTTAATTGTTATGCTTAAATGATGATAGTTATGATACTCAAAGTATGGAGTTTTATATAACTGAGCGTTACAGAAACGTTAGTAAAGAGTATGCATAATTGTTTACAAGGTGTTACTCGTGTTAGAGATAGTTATATTAAATATTTAAGACTTAAAAAAAATATCTGTCAGATACTTTATGCAACAGTCCA